CTCCTCCTCCTCCCTTCCCTTCATTCATTCTTCCATCCAACTCTTTAACCCTCCTCCTCCTCTTTATCCATCCCTCTAACCAACCACTCTCCCTTCCCTCTCCCCTCCTTTCCTCTCCTACCCTTTCACAACATCTCATCTCAGTTCCTCCCCTTTCCCATTACGACCACTTCTCTTTCCCAACACGACAACCTCCTTCTCTCACCCCCCCCACTCCCTTTCTCTCCTCCCTATCTTCCCCCCACCAGGACAACATCCTCCCATTTCCCCTTCCCATCACAACCCCCTCCTCCCTCCCCTCTTCCCAGCACCCACCACTCTCCTTCCATTCCCCCTCTTCCCCCCCCTCTCCTCCCCTCCCCTTCCCCAACACTACCCCCCTCCCTCACCCAGCTCTGCCTCGGTGCCAACTTGCCCCCACCCACCACACAGTGCCACAGAGAGACACTCATTTCCTAATTCCCTTCATCAGGGTTAAACTGATGGTATTTTTCCCAGCATCCGGTGTACTTACTGGGTGGTTGATGTACCTACACACAGACACACACACGCACAACACACACACACACACACACACACACACACACACACACACACACACACACACACACACACACACACGGTTAAAATAACTTTTTGGTGGGTCCACTGCAATATTAACAGAATTCACTCAAATGAAATAAAGATTTTTTTTTCCTGTGTGATTTTTATGGAAATAATAATTGGTTAGTTTGTTTGATGTAATCTGTGTGTGTTTATTAACTGCCCTTTTGTTTGGTTCTACTTGTGGCCTGTTTTTTATTAATGAATGTAGAGGAGAACTATGAGAGTTAGTATGCTTGTTTGTGTGTGTGTGTGTGTGTGTGTGTGTGTGTGTGTGTGTGTGTGTGTATTGTCACTATAAACGTTAATTATCACTATTAACGTTAATCATCCTTAATTTAACGCTAATTGTTACGTTACTTTTCACAGGTGACGTTAATTGTCTTAGTGACGTTAATCCTAACTAGTGACGTCGTGTTTCTCACTTAGCACTGTCGAGGTGTGGCAGCGAGGCTTGTGGGAGCAGGCATGCTGAGTGTCATGGTGCCACATGGCTCTATTTGCCCGCCCTCCCATGATCACTTTGACCTTGGCACTCATTCAGCATACGTCAGCGTTACCAACCCAGTAGTTCAGTCTTCATTGTTACCACATAAATCTACCACGATGTGATAGGATAGAGGAAGGCCAAGGCTGGTCAACTATGAATAGAATATTTTTCTAAATGAAAACTTAGGAATATTTTTCATTAGCTGAAACATTTTCTTGTGAGAGGTCCCACTTCGCCAGCACTGTCACTACTTTGTTTTGCTTGACTGTTGCGCTTGAGTGGCAAAACCTAACTGGAGACGCAGGGGTGTTGTGGGGACGTTCATTCACTGTTTAGTCATGTATTATGGGAACATCTCACAATTGCATGTGTGAATTGTTTGCAGCTGCCTAAGGAGACACTCCCTTTCTTGCCGAGGACAGCGAGGATGCCCTTTCAGGACATGCTTTCTTGCGTCATTAACCACCATCTAGAGTGTAGGACACCTGTAAGGACGTCTCTTGAGGCACTTAACTGACCAGGACCAGATCCTTCCCACTGATACCCCTCTTGTTTGCCTTGCTGCTTGGAGGCATTGTGGGTCTGTGCACGCACACTTTTTTGTCTCGAGGCAAAGATTCAAATCCCTGCGGCTCCAGAAGCTTGTTGTTGGCGAGTGAGAATATTTTACATGTCTTTCACACTCAGAACCTTCCTGCTGGTGTAGCTGACGCGGTCGTCGCTCTCTTGGCTGTTACGTTGGTCGTGTTGGTTTTGATGCTGAGTCCGTAACCCTTTGTGGTCCCGAGATATATATTCTAAGCCTCGCCATGCCTCGGGCTTATTTGTTTACGATTAAAGTCTTACACCTGCTTAAACGTCAGGAACCCCGCAGGTAAGCGGTGTAATCATATGCTTATCAGAGAACCTGTTTGCTTTGAGACCGTTTATATAACCCTTCGTGACTGTGGGGCGTACGTCGTAACAAATTAAATTATCTAACAAATATCAGTTATCATGGCACCTGCAGATGTTGACTGCGTGTGTGTGTGTGTACTGATGATGCCACGACCTCAACCTGCTCCTGCTGCCTCGTCCTCAACCTCCTGCTGCCTCGTCCTCAACCTCCTGCTTCTGCTGTTTTCTCCCAGGTAGTGAGCCACGGTAACCCTCCGCTGTTCTCATCTCAACTTACCTTCCTCGTTGTCCTGAGTAATTTTTTTATGAAACATTTTTGTCGTTAAAATTACAGAAACACTTCCGACGTCAAAATGAAGATCACAGAAGCTGTCAGAATATTCGGATATTTTCCTAGTCTAATTTAATGCATTTGTCTGGCATGCACAAGTACAAGGAGAGGAGTGAGAGGGTCACACTTTTTCATCATCGTGAACGTGTTACATTATTCTGTCACACACACACACACACACACACACACACACACACACACACACACACACACACACATACACACACACACACACACATACACACACACACACACACACACACACACACACACACACACACACACACACACACACACACACACACACATACACACACACACACACACACACACACACACACACACACACACACATACACACACACACACATACACACACACACACACACACACACACACACACACACACACATACACACACACACACACACACACACACACACACACACACATACACACACACACACACACACACACACATACACACACACACACACACACACACACACACATACATACACACACACACACACACACACATACACACACACACACACACACACACACACACACACACACACACATACACACACACACACACACACACACACACACACACATACACACACACACATACACACACACACACACACACACACACACACACACACACACACACATACACACACACACACACACACACACACACACACACATACACACACACACACACACATACACACACACATACACACACACACACACACACACACACACACACACACACACACACACACACACACACACACACACACACACACACACATGTTTATCAACTCATTTCTCTCCTTGTTATTTTTATCTCAGTTTCATCAACTTGATTCAGCGTCACAGCTCTCTCCCTCCTCCTCCTCCTCCTCCCCGACGCTGCAGAGCCGTAGAGTGGGGTCCCTACCTCTTGTTGGGGTACCATTAAACCCCCCGCCCTCTACCACAGGAACCCTCACCCCACCCAACCACCCACCCAACCACCCACCCAACCACCCACCAACCCCCGACCATCCCCGTCACCTCTGTCACTCTCCCTACTTACTCACTACGTCTGTCTTTATCCGTCCCCACTCGCTTCGCCTATCCCTCTCTGTCCCCACTCACCACGTCTGTCTATCCGCCCTCACTCGCTGCGCCTATCCGTCCCGATTCACTCGCTACATCCGTCCCCTCTCGCTTTGCTTCTCCCTCTCTGCCCACACTCACTACGCCTGTCCCTATCCGCCCCTCTCTCTTCCCACTCACCATGATCCCACTCACCACGACTCTTCTCCCTCTCCACTCACCTTCAAGGCCAACCCACCTGTCAGACACAGTGCTGCCAACCTTCTCATGGCTTCCTTGATGTCTCACGGTGTTATTGCAGCTTATAGAGACTCAAGACCTGTAGTAACCTAACCTAACCTAACCCAGACCTTATTTTAACAATGTTTAGCCATAATAGCTCACGCCCTTTGATGCATCGTCACTACAACCTCATAGATCCATAAGGCATAAATCCTTTAGCGTGTATTTATAAGCGATCTAAACGTTTATATGAACTGAATACATGACCCCGGCTTTAAATCCATTCATTGATCGTCACATCACAACGGCCCGGGAGCAATGTACACTTCGACTTGGGGGAAGTATTGTTGGCTCTCTTATATTACCACATTACACCGAAGCAGAATAGGAATTTCCACAGAATTGGCAGCCATTTGGTAGACGTTGTTGAGTATATGTCTTAGTTTAGCTAGTATAACTATAAATTGAATTGCGACGAAATGGCGACACCCAGTTGATGATATATGTATGAACGCTTGCTCTGGGTACACCTGTGTGTGTGTGTATGTGTGTGTGTGTGTGTGTGTGTGTCCCAGCGTGATTACTGTGCCTCTTGCTTATTGGCTTAGGTAAACAGTAGCCAGCAAGATCTTGAGCGTGTCTGTGTGTGTGTGTGTCTTGTTGACAAGTTCAGTGACAAGATGGGGTCTCTGTGCTGACTCTCTGTGTAATGTTTACACTCTCTCTCTCTCTCTCTCTCTCTCTCTCTCTCTCTCTCTCTCTCTCTCTCTCTCTGTGTGTACTCGTATATATAACTCTCCAACACTCTACAACAAGCAACAGTCACCCAGAACCGGACCCCCCCCCCCCATACAGACTGTACTGAGCCACACAGGTCTTAAGACATACAGTTCCCCACATGTCTAGAGTCCAAACACATAGTTCTGCAAACTTCCAAAAATTCACACATCAGGATCGCCAGACACGAAGGCCACGAGACAGGAAGCTTTCACACACGCAAAAATTTCACACACACGATTTTTTTTTCTCAGTTATCTAAACCTCCAGACGCAAAGTTCTTCTCACGTTCAGAGATTCCAGCTACACATTTACCCTTTACACAACCTTCCAGATAAGGAAACTTACAGACACATAGTTTTTCAGATATGTTTACTCTCATGCATAGTGTTCTTTATGTATACTAAATTCCTTGTAGAAAAGTTTCCAGATATCCAAGTAATGTATGTATCGCACTTTGAGATATACAGCTTTACAGACAAGTGAATTTCCAGACAGTCGTACACTCTGCCAGACATTCAGACCGTAAAGCATAAGAGCGCTGCAAACTCTCTTCTGTTCCAGGTGTAAAGATTTCCAGTGTTGCAAAAATATCAAGTACAAACTCCTCAATATACCTCGGCCGTATTGTTTCCCAGATCTGTTTAACACAGTTGGCCAGATCTTCATACACATTCCTCCAGATATCCAGACCGGCTCATCCGGTTTTCTTGTCCCAGACCATCTAACACAGTGCTCCGGACATCCATATATACTAACATAATTTTCCAAATATTCAGACCATCTTATACAGCTTTTCAGAGACCTAAAGTTTCAATCAGTCTTTTCAATACCACATTCAGGTGTCCAGACATCTATACTGTCAGCACATTCTTTTATATATCCAGACCTTGTACACGACCCTTCCAGAAGCTCAACCCATTATTTAAATAGTTCTTCGGACATACCAACCCTCAGACACCATGTTTTGTAAACAAGAAGTCAGTTTTTCTCTGCACCGTGGCCACCCACAGTGAACTCCAAGCCCAGAGAGTGACGAGGACACGGGTGCGTCCCCAAAAGGTGGCTCCCCGCTGGGCCCCAACTCGTGGACAGTAACCATGACCACGGAGGCCTTGTTGACATAGGGGCCCCCTGTGGCACGGGTCCTTCGGACACAGGCCTCCCGCGGCATGGTTAGTGGGTTCCTGTGGACACAGAACCCCCGCGACACAGGGAGTGGGGTCTTTGTAAACATAGTTCGCCTCGGGACCATAGTACGTGATGCGAGGCTTTTGTGCTCATTCTGTTGACACCATTAAATGAATCGTCCAGGCCATTTACGCTTGCATTTGGTAACGGATGGTGAGCTTTAAGACGGTAACGAGGGCAAGGCGAAGAAAAGGGCAAATTCCATTGGAGGAAATGAGATGAGACTGAAAAGAAGACGAAGACGTGAGGAATGCGTGATGACGCAAGTGATATAAATTATTTCGTCGAGTGTCGTGTCAAAGAGACGCACGGAAGTAGAAAGAAATTCTACAACGTTACTTGATACTCTCGCACTTTTAGCAGATGGAGGGGTGCAAGCCTCTCTGTGACAGGTGAAGTTGCCTCGGAGATTTCTAGTGGCAGACCTTCAGAGACTTCATGACAGAAAAAGATATGCAGCTCCACTTGACAGACAGGTGGGTACAGCAGCAGCGACCTTGACCCTTGGGAGGTGAGGAGCACCTGTCACCTGTCTCTCTCCCCTCACCCGTCAACTTATTCATCATTGCGACAGGCGAGGAGGAAGGGGGCGCTGTCGTGGGCGGGAGGCAAGAGGTGGTGGGGGTAACACTAACTGACTCTGACGTGGTATTTTGGGACAAGGTTGTCACCCATAATGTGATAGGAGAAGAGGACAAAGATGAAAAGGAAGAACAACAGGAGGAAGAATAAAGGAATATGAAGGAACTGAAGGTTGAGTTGAAGAATGAAATTAAGAAAACAAAAGTATGGTAATATAGACATGGAAAATACTGCAAGAAGGAAACACTATAATTAAGGGGCATGAACTGAAGACAAACAGATGATGGAAGAAAGAATGAAAGGTGGAGAAAATCTTATTGTTTAAGAAATAGGATTTTTTTTTGTACAGTTAGAAATAATGTAACACTGGCTTGATCAACACTATTATTATTATTATTATTATTATTATTATTATTATTATTATTATTATTATTATTATTATTATTATTATTATTATTATTATTATTATTATTATTATATTAATCCATTGCTATTGTTGTTGTTTTCGTCATAACATCAGTACAGCAATAGTTGTAATAGTAGTGGGTATCATTGGTCATCAGTACGTGTGTCAGGGATCAGTGAGCTGCACCTGTCCGACACGGCAGGTGACCTGGTTCCCACGACACACACACAGACAGGCAGACAGACAGGCAGACAGACAGACAGGGCTCATTTTATCTGCAGACTTTATTTTCCTGTCCCCAGTGTTTAAAGGCGATTTTTTTTGTCCCCAACACAGCAGACACCATTATATTTGTCCCCAACACAGCAGAAACCATTATATTTGTCCCCAACACAGCAGACACCATTATATTTGTCCCCAACACAGCAGACACCATTATATTTGTCCCCAACACAGCAGACACCATTATATTTGTCCCCAACACAGCAGACACCATTATATTTGTCCCCAACACAGCAGAAACCATTATATTTGTCCCCAACACAGCAGACACCATTATATTTGTCCCCAACACAGCAGAAACCATTATATTTGTCCCCAACACAGCAGACACCATTATATTTGTCCCCAACACAGCAGACACCATTATATTTGTCCCCAACACAGCAGACACCATATTTGTCCCCAACACAGCAGACACCATTATATTTGTCCCCAACACAGCAGACACCATTATATTTGTCCCCAACACAGCAGACACCATTATATTTGTCCCCAACACAGCAGACACCATTATATTTGTCCCCAACACAGCAGAAACCATTATATTTGTCCCCAACACAGCAGACACCATTATATTTGTCCCCAACACAGCAGAAACCATTATATTTGTCCCACCAATCCGTCTGTCGTATGGTGAAGGGGCCGTCACGTGAATGCCCAATTAGAGGATCCAAAGGGTGGCGTGCAAACACCCCGAAGGCGGCCACTCCCTCTCTCCTACCCTCTCCTCCCTCCCTCTCCTCCCCACCACTCCCCTCCTCCCCACCACTCCCTCTCCTCCCCCACCACTCCCTCTCCTCCCCCACCACTCCTCTCCTCCCCACCACTTCTCTTCCCCACCACTCCTCTCCTCCCCCACCACTCCCTCCTTTTCACCACTACCTTTCCTCTTCACCCTCCTTCTCCTCCGCCTCTCTCTCTCTCTCCTTCACTCCCCGTCTCCTCCCATTCCTTCTCCTCCCTCTCTCCTTCACTACCCGTCTCCTCACCATTCCCTCTCCTCCCCGACCCTTCAGAATCATCACACCATCTCTCCCTCACCTCTCCCTCACCTCTCCCTCACCTCACCCCACCCCTTTCTCACCACTCTCAGCTCCCTTCTTCATACGCAGTTATACAGTCTTATTACACACATTGTATATTAAATGAAACAATTATTGCGAGTTTCACTTTGTATACTGCTTATATAAGTTGAGGATATGAGCAACTGTGTGTGTGTGTGTGTGTGTGTGTGTGTGTGTGTGTGTGTGTGTGTGTGTGTGTGTGTGTGTGTGTGTGTGTGTGTGTGTGTGTGTGTGTGTGTGTGTGTGTGTGTGTGTGTGTGTGTGTGTGTGTGTGTGTGTGTGTGTGTGTGTGTGTGTGTGTGTGTGTGTGTGTGTGTGTTTACTTGTTTTCTTGGCACTTTCTTCTTACCTTCTATACCTGTCGTACTTATCTCCTCCTACTCCTTCTCTCTCTCTTTCTTTATTGTTTTTTCTACCCCTTGGTCCATCCCTTGCAAGAGAGAGAGAGAGAGAGAGAGAGAGAGACAGAGAGAGAGAGAGAGAGAGAGAGAGAGTCACTAGGGTGGTGACCGGAGGCTCTGACTTACACGATTATATACTAAGTCTGCCCTATGAAGTCACTTGAGAGATACCGCACTCAGCCACACGCAAAGACGCCACCACCTCTCCTTCATCCAACAGTATTGCCTCACCCACCACCCCTCCCTCACCAACCACCCCTCCTTCCTCACCCACCACCCCTCCTTCCTCACCCACCACCCCTCCTTCCTCACCCACCACCCCTCCCTCACCCCTCCTCCCTCACCCGCTGAGAAACAGAAGTAAACAGGAGTGAATTACGGCATTTTAGCTGTGGTCCCTGTGGAGGTTGTCAGGGGGAGTGTAAGTCAGGGCGGGGGAGGGGCAGTAGTGGTGGCGGCGGCGTCCTAGGAAAGGTCCTCAAGAGCGGGTCATACGTAGAAAGGAAGGAATGGAAGGGAAAAAGGAGGAGAGTAAAGAAGAGAGGTGAGAGGGAGGGGAGAGGAGAGGAGGGGAGTGAAAGAAGGTAGGAGGTAAAGCAGATGATAGGTGCTAGGAGTCAATATGTAGATGAGGGTAAATATATAAGTGTGAAGAGCATTAGTGGGGGACAGGTTAAGGGTCACCTCTGTGTTAGATGTGGATTATGGAGTTTATAAAGGTCTGTGGGGAAGGAGGAGGAGGAGGAGGGCGAGGATAAGGAGGAAGAGAGAGGGAAAGATGGAGGAGGAGTACGAGGAGGAGGTGAGGGAAAGAGCAGAAGGAGGAGGAGGTTGTAAGGGAGAGTGGGTGATGGGGGGAAGGGAGACAGAGGGTGAAGAGGAAGAGACGAAGGAAGAAGAGGCGAGGGAAAGTGAAGATGAGGAAGAGAAGGAATTTTAGGTATAGAAGAGAGTGGGTGATAGGTGGGAGGAGGAGATGAAGTATGGGGAGAAGATCAGGAGAGAGGAAGAGAGTAGGAAAGGAAGATGATGGCAGGTAGGAGGAGGAAGATAGGGAGGTGAGTGAGAGAGAGAGAGAGAGAGAGAGAGTGTGTGTGTGTGTGTGTGTGTTTAAGACCATAACATCCTTCCTATATTAATAATTCAAAAGACTCCGTAACTTATGTAGGAAAAAGAAAAACATGAAAAATATATAAAAATAAAAACAGAATAATTTATAACACGACTTCGTTTACAAAATTAAAACAAAACAAAAATGGACGTGTGAGCAAAATATAAACGCAGAAAGAAAGTGGAATCTGGCATTAAGAAATATGTAATGTTTATATGTGCAGTATGTTGGTGCTAGGGCAAGGACACACACACACACACACACACACACACACACACACACACACACACACACACACACACACTATGAAGGCCCTAACATGCTAAGAGGTAAACAGGAGGGCGGTACAAGACAAATACCTCGTATGAATAGTCGTGTTGGCGTTAAGGAGGAAACCAGTGGCTGAGTGGTAAAGAAACCCCTCCTCCCCCTCCTCCTCCTCCAGCTCTTGTGCACCCTTCACTTCTTGTGCACCCCTTGGGCCTTGTGCACCCCTCCCAAGACGTCGTGCACCCTTCCTTCCGCCCTAGTACCTTCCCCTTCCCTAGTAACCCTCTCCTTCCTAGTACCCCCCCATTCCTAGTACCCCTCCCCCCTAGTACCCCTAGCTAGTACCCTCCCCCAGCCTAGTACCCCCCCTCCTAGTACCCCCCCAGCCCTAGTACCCCTCCGCTGAAAAGTGTTGGGCCACACTGTACACACCGGCCACTGAATTAGTGGTTGTGT